GGGATGTGTGGATTGAGATTGAGTGATGTGAGAAGGGGATGGGGGGATTCTTAGAGGGGTTGGTCAAGTTGGGGGGAAAAGTGGAGGGGTAAGATAAGGTAATGGGGTAGGGTAAAAAGAGAAAATAGTGAGTAAAAATAAGATCAAGGAAAATTCACAAATAGGAATTATAACTTAGAATGTGAATGGCATGTTCATAACAGCTCTCTTTGTGGTGGCAAAGAACTGGAAACTGCAGGGATCCCCATCAATTAGGGAATGACTCAATAAGTTGTGCTGTATGGTTGTGATGGAATATTACTGTGCTATAAGAAATGATGAACTCATTGATCTTAAAAAGGCATGAAAAGACTTGTATGAAATGATGAAGAGCAAAGTGAGCAGAACCAAGAGAATATCGCATATAGTGACAGAATACTGTTTTAAGAATGACTTTGAGCAACTAAGTCATTCATTTTAACTATTATGAATACACAAATTAAAAAGAAATGACATATGAAGAGAGAAATGCTATCTGCATCCAGAGAAAGAACTGATAAGTAGAAGTATGTATGGAATAATTTTATACACACACACGCACACACACACACATGCCTTTTTGTGTCTAATGGTAATCATCTCTAGGGCAGGGTTGGGAGAAGGAAAGCAAAAAAGGAAAAAAAAAGAAATATCCATTATTATGTTTTTGTAGTATTTGGAGGGAATAGCAAGTTGTACGTTGTAGATTTGCAGTTCCATGTGCAATCATCTTTTTTTTTATTGTACTGTGTTATGGACATGCTTGTTTTGTTCCCTGAGTTGAAAATAAAATAAAATTTTAAAAATAAGTTATAGCAATTTTAATTTACTTTTTATTCTGAACTTATCAACAAAATGCAAAGATTGAAGATACAAAAAAGGAACAAGGATTGTATAAGAAACTGTGAACTTCTGTTTTGTACAGTTTTTAAAAGACATGTAAATATTATATTTAGCAAACTGAATTAAAAATTGCTCTTAAAAAAGAAACAATGTATTTGAAGAACATAGAGAAGCATGGAAAGACTTACATGATTTGATGCCAAGAAAAACAACATACACATTTTAAAAGGAAATAATAACAATTCCAAAGTGAAACTGAAAGATGTATACTTTTAGTAACCAAACTTGATTACAAAGAAGAACTGAGAAAATGTATTTTTGCCTTCTTACATTGAAGGGGTAAGAGCTCTGGGTATTAAACAATGGGGCTCTAATGTGTTATATAGTTTTGTTTAATTATTTTTTCCCTTCCCTCTTATTTTTTGTTATCGATTACGACTCTCTGGGGAGTGGAATGGGGATATGTATATTCAGAAATGAAAGTGATAAGAAAAAGAGTTAAAATACAATTTTTAAGAGTTCTTAAAAGAGAAAATTAAAAAGATTCCCAATGAAGCATATTAATCAGATAAGGTAACATGATCACAGATTTAGAATTAAGCATATCCTTAGAAGTCATTTAACTGAAACCCTCTCACCTCCTTTTTTTGTATTTATAGATTAAAGGAGTGAATTCTAGAGAAACTGTATTCCCAGAGTCACAGAGATACTTAATGAAAGATTTGAACTCAGATTCTCTGAGAAAGAGAAGGATAATAGGCCTGATCTGGTATTGGCACTCATATATTTTTAAGAGATCTGGAGGAAGGTTCCCAGCATAGTGGATGGAACCCTAATGGAAGACTTATGGGATGGACACAGACAAAAGTTATACCAAAAAAGAAATCATGGATGGGTTGCAATAGGTACCTTTGAAGGAAATCTCCACATCAATGAGACCACCACTGAAATATGATCTAATTCATAGGGCTATTCAAGACCATAACATGCTACATAAACATTAGTTTCTAAGATTTTTCCAAGAAAATGATATAATTTAAAATATGTATTTCAATTCCATTATAAACATGTATATCTATATGACTTGCCCATCAATATCAAGTTGATGCAGTTCAGACTAAGATGTAATCTCATCAGTGTCTATACATATTTTAGTACATTTAATACATTTATATGGGGAAGGAAAGAGAAAGGGCTTTTAGTGCTAATTGGGAAGTGTATTATGTCAAAATGAATAATAACTATAACTTTTAAAAAATAAAATAAATCAACTGATATTTATTAATATGCTGCTACTATGATGTTTAATACTAGGGATACTAAGACAGAAGTCAGACAATTCCAGATCTCAAAGGATTTGTCCATACATATGTATCAATATATAAAATATATGCAAAAAGAATACAATTCAAATTTGGGAGAGAGGTTATTAGCATATGAAAGGATGAGGATAGGTTGATAACCTAATCATAAGATTAATAGCTAAAGGAGTCTAGAGAGGTCTTCTACTTGTTAAGGTTTGTTTGTTTGTTTTTGAAGAAACTAGTGATTTCAAGAGGTGAAGGTGAGGAGGAAAAATTTTCCATGAATAGGGAAGAGATAACCTGTGCAAAGTCACAGAAAGAGGAGATGAAGTGTCTGGGCAAGTAAGCCAGTATGACTAAACTGAAGAACACAGAGGCAAAAAATGTATTAGAATGAGGGAAAGGTAGGAAGAGACTACATTGTGAAGAGCTTTAAAAGCCAGACAAAGGAGTTTGTCTTTCACCCTAGAGCTGACCTGCATATTTATAAATTCCCATAGATTGAAGTTAGGTTAGACTAGAGACAGGCTGACGATGATTGGTTGCCCCAAGTCATATGACAGCTGCCCAAAATTCTTTGGTTGGCCATATGTCGTGCAGGTTTGCCTTAGAGGTAATAGGTAGCTAGCTCCTCTTGATTATTGAAGAAGTAGAAAATGAAGGGGTTGGTACACAACATGATTAGATTTGATCTTTAGGGAAATTGCTCTGGTAGCTGTGTGGTGCTTGGATAGGAGTGGATAGAGTCTTGAGGATATTGCAATGGTTCAGGGGTGGGGAACCCATGGCCTCAAAGCCACATGTGGCCCTCTAGGTCCTTCAGTGACGCTCTTTGACTAAATCCAAAATCCCCTTAATAAAATGTTTTGTTTTGTAAAACTTGGAGTCAGTCAAAAGGATGAACCCAAGATCTAGAAGGTCACGTGTGGCCTCAAGACCATAGGTTCCCCACCCCTAAAGGTCTGAAATAGGTAGCTAAATGTAAGAGATATTGTGGAGACTGAAACTTCTTTACACATATAAGTACCAGGGACATAAGCACATATAAGTACTAAGAACATAAATATCATGTATAATGTAATATAGCTCCATAGAACTACTATGCAAAATATAAAACATTTGGAGAGGTGGAAGAGAAAGTAAGGAATTGGAAAATAAAGCTAAGTGGACCTTGTACAAAAAAAAAATTCATCAAGGAGAAGAATTTCAAAATGCATTTTGAAAGGGAAAACATTAGGAAAGGAATAGAGGACACATTCTATCTAGTGTTTTAAAATTTCTTATTTACGTCTGGTGTTGTTTTTGTGGTGGTGGTGGTAGTGGTTAAAAACCCTAAAAAAAAGTAAGTTTGGAGGACCCCTTATTTAAGATCGTCAGTATGTATGTAAATATGTGTGTATATGTAGATGTATAGATGTGTGTATGTATTCTATATATATCTATCTATTCAAGAGCCAACATTATTTGTAGTGGAAAAACACCAGAAGTTTAAAAGAATGATCTCAAATCTTTTTGCCTCTCCCCTCTACAACATCACCAATTATGGCGTGCAAAATATTTTTTTAAAGAAGTATTTGGGATCTTGAAGAGAACTTACAAAATATCTTTTTTTTTTGAGTTAAAGAAACAGAGGCTCTGAGAGTTAACATTGATTTGTCCAAGATTATATAGCTACCTCAGGACTAGAACTTGAACTCAGAACTCCTCTCTCCCAGTCTAGTAGTTTTTTGTTTTGTTTTTTTACCACTACAGCAAAATTTTGTTTCCATATTACATAGACTTCTTGCTAATAACCTCTATTTGTAAATCATTTTTTAAATTAGTTTTGTATCTACCATATTGTTTTAACCTCACAACAATACTCTAAAGTAAATAGGACAAATATAGAAACTAAGGTCCATAGATGTAGTGCTTTGACTAAAATAAGAGTTAGGACCAGAATGTCCCAGCCCTTTTTTATTTTATTTTATTTTTTTTCTAGACTATCATCTCAAGTAGCAAATCTATTAATTTATGTCATTATAAAATGGCAACAACTGAAACAATATAAGACTTGGCCTAGCAGACATAATAGACACCCCTTGCCCACATTTCTGAGTACAGTTCTAGCTTTGCTTATGATTTGGAATAACCATCCATTGTTAGACACAGTTTAACACAAGGCTAGAAGAAACTAGAGAGATGTCTACCCCTGCCTTTAACAGATAGTACTAGAATAGTAAAGTTAAGGTCACAAAAGTAGCAAGGAACAGAGCTAGGATTTTAACCCAGATTTTCCAGCTCTATAAATCCTGTGATCTGTCCACTCCAACATTACACAGTTTAAAAGCCTTGGGTTTATTTCTCCCTCTGAAGTGAATTCCCATCCCCACCCCTGTAATTTAAAAGGGTTATGCTATTGAATAGTTTCAGGGATCTCTCTGTGCCTCTCCTTTTTCCTTTGTCCCATTTTAGACTTATGCCCCTTTCTCCCTTGCCTGTGTTATAGGTTTTGTCAGTTTCAAACTTCCTTATTAGTACGGAGAGAAAGATCCGACGCCTATTGCCTTAAACATTCGTCTCTCTCATCCCCTTGCTCAACACCAAATGCATCAGCTGCGAACCCTCACATCGCAAGCGAATCTCTGGGCTAACTAAACTGCACAGTCTGAACATGGGACCTTGGTTCTTAAAACGGGGCTGAAAGGAGGCAGAAAGAGGAACATCTGTTCACAACTAAAACACCCCATTTATCACCATAGCTGGGATTGAGGAAAAATCTCTAAGTCTAAAAGTCACAGCTACCCTTAGATGAGCTTAGCCCACCCTTTCCCCTTAGGGACCAATGAGCTTTACCTTTTGCCTGAGGTCCCCGGGACAGGCTCATAGGAGACATTGCTGTTCCAGTTCCATAGCCAGGAAAACATGATCCGTGTGTGTGCGTGTGTGTGTGTGTGTTCTTCTGAGAGGAAAGAGAAAAGGGGCTGGTGCTGGTGGAAGACCGTCAAGGTCTTAATAGGAAGAAAAGGGGAAGGCAAGCACCGGCTTGTTCCCCTGCCTTCCCTTCGGCCTCCTCACCCGCCCCATTTGCTGAAAGCCACTCCCAGAAATTACTTTAGCAGGCAGCTCTGGATCCCAAGGCGGAGCTGACCTTGTCTTCAGGGATACTTGTGCTGGCAATTCCCATCCTGTTGCAAAGAAACTGTTTTCACTGATAGGTGTCTTATGGAATGAAGCCTCTTGCTTCCAGATACTTTAGAGGAATGGAAAAGGGTGATGTTGGATGTAATGATGGGAACAAAATGAGTAAAAAGCATGGAGGGAAAGGGAATATAAGAGGTCCCTTCTAAGGTTTGGTGTTGAGGTAGAAGACCAATAAAATTAACCAAATTAACTATAAAGTACATATGAAGAAAGACGCTATCTGGTTCCAGACAAAGAACTGATGAATACGTATAGAATAATTTTACATATATATGTGTATATGTGTGTATCTATCTATCTAGCTAGCTAGCTATCTACACACACCTATTTATATCTAATGGAGCCATATCAGGGAGAGGGGAGGGGGAAAAAAGGAAAAGAAATTTATACAATAACTTTATCATATATTTAAAAGAAATAGCAAGTTGTACATAATAGATTTACTGTTTCATGCAGAATTATTTTTTACATTCTATGTTATGCAAGTACTTGTTTTATTCTATAAATTAAAAATAAATATTTTTTAACAAAAAATCTCCAGGAAAAAAAAAATCTAACCATGCAATCAGTCCTCATATTCGTTGGATTCTTATTGTGGTTGAATTGCAAAAAAAAAAGAAAAAGAAAACAGAAAAAAAAAGAAAAGAAAGAAACAAGAAAAAAATACTTTTTTTCCTCCAAGGAAAAGAAAGTCTTAAAGCGCTGGATAAAAATACCCAAGGACACATAGATGGGTGAAATCATATTTTTTCAACTTCCTGGAATGGTTTATCTTTATTAGGGTTCTTATTAAGGTTCTAAATTTTATGAAACACTAAATCTGAAGGTATAACAGCTCCTTCTGCTTATTGATCACCCTATGGAAAATGACAAAACCTACATGAAGAGATCAGAAGTAATTCTGAGGGGCAGCTAGGTGGTGCAGTGGATAGAGCACCTGATCTGGAGTCAGGAGGGCCTGAGTTCAAATCCAGCCTCAGACACACAACACTCACTAGCTGTGTGACTCTGGGCAGCCCCAATTGCCTCACCAAAAAGAAAACAGTAAATCTGAAAAATAACAGATTGAACACAGAATAAATGGTCCCCATGTTCCAAGGATGAACAATGGATAGAGAAAGCACTTTTTTATTAATCTTAGCTGGTTATATTTTTATAATAGAGGACCAGCCAATGAGACTCCATGCAAGGATTTTTTCTTCCTGTGAACTTGCACCTTGTTCTCTGCTGGTGCTGCTGCCAATCTAACAGTGTGGAACTTCTGGGAGACAATTTCTAGTCAAGAGTGAGCTGTATTGATGAAAAAATCTTCTGGTTAGCTGAGGAATTGGAAGGATGAATGAGTAAGCACAGGCTGAGCCAGAACTAAAAGCATATACAAAATATTCATGAGAAAGATCTCTTATTCTCTTTCCTGGGAGTGAGGAAGAACTCTGAGATGCTGATGGATATTCCCATATCTCCATTTCCCTAGCCAGTCAAGGTATCTGCTTTTTCAAACGTTTATTTTTCCCTGTTATTGGGTGAATGAGAATCTAGATACAGAATAGACATTGTGATCTTTGAAAGGTTGAAAGAGCCAAAGAAGAAAAAATCTTGCAACTAGAGTCAGTAGTACTTTGCCAGTAGCCACAGTGGCACATTTTTGGTGAGAAGTCAACCCTGAGAAGTGAACTGCTTTACCTAGACCCAGGGTGAATCAGAATGGGATCTCTGAGCAAGCAAGGAATGACCTGTTCATCAGATATGTCCCAGCAGAAAGAAACTTGTTAGGAACTGTGTGAAGGGAGAATAGGATGCCTAGAGCCAGGAAATTGGGTTGGAAAGTTGGAGGTTGGAGGAAATGGATGATATTTCTGTACCAATCACTTCAGACTTGAGTCCACCCTTCCTGGTACAGTGCTCCTTTGTCCGGCTCTTTATTTGGGGGGTGTTTTTTTTGTACTTCTTTTCTTGCTATGCCTTCACAGAAAATAGCTGTTTGTAAGACTTAATTGATAGATAGCAACAGTTAGTTGTTATTGGAGAAATGTTAACTGATTAATCAATATTGGAAGGGACCACATTGTTCTGGAACTTGCAAGTATTAGAAGTCCCAATCTTCTCAGGCTTACCCCTAAAGCTCTGAGGGAAAAGTAGCTTTCTTCTGGAAACCCAAGCTGTGAGTGAATCAGAGAAGAGACAATGAGCAGAGAGGGGATGCTACATATTGGGGCTTCATTTGTGATAAATATTAGACCCTTCATAATTGCAAGGAACCATTGGGAAAATACTTCACTTGCGACTCATTTGTTGACTAGCTTAGTTTTTAATATCCATTAGTTTTTTTTCTCCTTTTTTTAGACTGTATTGTATACTTTTTTGGTGTGTTTTCTTACAAGTCAGATGAATAATCATGTGATTGCTTTTATTTATTTGAATACTTATTTATATCTCTTTATGTCTGTACCCACTATGATTATCTCAGCTAATATGAGAATCATGGATTTTGCTTCCCCAATATACTGGTGGTGCTGGGTTCATGAATGTTCATTTGGTGGTTTTTTTTTTTCATTTTTGCCTTTAAACTGCCCTGGACTGCTTGCCTTCTTGTGAGGTCCTTATGGCCCTATGAACCCTAGTAAGAACCCTAATAAAGATAAATAATTCCAGGAAGCTTGAAAAAAATGAAAGATGATGCCATAAATCTGTTCTACTCATTTTTGTGCTGTTGGGTGCTTTCATCCAATGTATTTAGGACTTTCTTTTCTTGGAGAAAGAAGTATTTAATTTGCAATTCAACCACAATAAGAATCCAATGAGTCAGAGAACTGATTGTAGGTGAACAGAATATGATTTGCCTGTTGGCCTAGAAAGCTGAGTAATCCACCCTATATATTTAATCCAGTTTGAGATCTGCATACATGTTTGGAAATTGCCTGTTCCTGGGTTGGTTGGTTGGTTTTGTTTTTCCCCCTTTTACTTCTCAAACTGAGTCTGTTTGTCCTATGAGTTTGGAATTCTGTTAGTTGGATCCTTGAAGGCAAGGATTCATTAGGGAAATTTCTGGTGCCCTTTGGCATATGGATCCAGAAGAAATTCGCCTATCTTACCTATAGTGCAGCAACCCTTGGGGAACTTTGGTATGTCCTATGCAAAATATGACATACAAAGATTTCGACCAAACTCTGGTTGGATGGCCTAGATAGTAAGAGAATCAGTGAAAATTTTCACCCAGGGCAGTTTGGCTTCTATCCTTAGGGTGAGGGAGTGACTTCCAGTGAATTCCAAGTCCCATATTCTTGCAGGAAGATTTACCACATGTTTGGAAGGTCATAGAGGCCAGGTTCCCTTCTGGAATAAGAAGTTTGTTTTTCTCTACATTTCTCTTTCCTTTATTATTTTTGGACTGGGGAAAGTTACTTTGAGCATCAAGATAGGCCCTTGTTAAGTACTAAACAAGCAGTAATAGTATAATAATGTTCATTATTGAATCTGCATAATTCTGTTTTTGTTCTTCAGTCATTTTTCAGTCATGCCTGACTCTTCTTGACCCCATTTGGGGTTTTCTTCGCAGAGATACTAGAGTGGTTTGCCATTTCCTTCTCTAGCTAATTTTACAGATGAGGAACTGAGGCAAACAGGATTAAGTTACTTGCCCAGGGTCAAATAGCTAGTAAGTGACTGAATCTAGATTTGAACTCATGAAGAGGAGTCTTCCTGATTCCAGTGCTCTATCCATTGTACCACCTAGCTGCCTGCATAATTCTTTACTTGGGGACGATTGTGATTTCTACCTATACATGTAGGATTATATAAGACCTGTACCATGTTGACTCTTTTCAGATTGTTTTTATGTGGCCCTAGGAAAGCAAGTGAAAGAACAATGCTTAAGTCTTTTTAGTACCCCCAGAGAACTGTCTTTATTGAGGATATGGACACTGAATTAAAGAGTTATCCGCAGTTTGCTGAGGACAACACCATTTTTACAGGGGAAGAGTGAAATATAGGAGAATGGCTAATGTTGCCCCAGTCCTCAGAGCATGAATTTTGTCTTCTTTGTAGGTTTTATGAGCATGTACAATATACACTACTTAGTTTCAATTTTACAGAAACAGCACTTCCTGGCCCACTGGGTACTTTTCTCCATTCCTGGAATCTTAGCCAAGTTGCCTCGTGGGCACGGCATAACCAGCAGATGAGTTACTCCTTTGTTCAGTTTTCAGAGCTGCCTGGTCATTTCCTTGCTGGTTTGGGTCAATCATGTCTTTCCTCAGGGCTAGTTTCTCACCAGATTCAGTTACTGCTACTACTGGTTCTAGAGGTTCTTTGCTACTGATTCCAATTGCTCCAATCTCTCTTCCAACATTTTAAAGATCAAACATTGTAGCCTAGTCTATTCCATCTCTGAATACCCATTCACCTAAGATTAGGAAAGAATAAACAAAAAGTGACAAACAAAACTGAAATAACAGAGGCCCATTGTCCCTCCCTGACCCAGAGGCCCAGTGAGAGCATCTTGAAAGGGGACTTTTAATCTCTCTTCCAATCTTTGAAGGTCAAAACATTGTAACCTGGTCCATTCCATCTCTGAATACCTATTCATCTAAGATCAGGAAAAAGTAGACAAAAAGTGACAGACAAAACAGAAATAACAGAAGCCTATTGTCCCTCCCTGACTCAGAGGCCCTGTGAGGGCATCTTCAACAAGGAGAGCACCTGTTTGAACTTTTCCTATTCTTACTCCACTCTAGCTCAGCTTCTACAGATCACCTTTGCCACCTGAGGACTTTTCATCATCACAGCCATTCATGACTAGAAATACTTCCCCAAAATTCCGTATGTTGAACTGAAAACACATAAGAAATAACTTATATATTCTGTATAACTTCAAGCAGAGCAAATCTTTAAGAACTATGTCCTCATTGAGTGGTCTGTCATTGCATTTCTTTTTATTTTATTGCATTAGCATTTTCATCCCAGATTGGAAGTATTCATACTTCCTTAGCATAAGGTGATAATATTATTTATGTTTTCTTCCTAATCTTTGCAATCATAAATGCTACTTTTATTTTTCTCCTAATGTAATATCATTTCTAAGTGTAGGTTATAGTATTTTATGCAAAATCTATGAATCTAGTGGCCTGTTATAAGTAAAAGAAAACACTAAGATAAATTTGAAAGGACATAGGAGTACATTTGTTGCTTCATCCCTAAGAGATAATTTGTTAGTTATATCTTACAGATACTTATGATCTAACATGTATCCTACCAGGGATAGTGCCTTGTACATTGTGTATGCTAATTTTAAAAAATTAATCAAATTGACATACTGATGACATATATATGATGTCATTGATATCGTTAGCAATTGGTTATAGTGGATCATGGATGAGGAAGGCAAGGACGTGGCAATAAATATGTACTCAAATCAGATGGATATGCGTATTTTATAAATTTCAATGCATTAAATGAACACAAATTATCTCTTCCTACAACACCTTAGTAGCAAGACCTATTCAGACTAATAGTGAATATGTATAAGCAAGTAAAGCCCATGACCCCTTTTCTAACTAAAGGACTCAGCTCTAGACCTAAGCTGACTGGTAAAATGTCTTGAGGGATCCTGGACTAGTGGAAGGTAGGTAGTCAGGCTCTTCTCACCCTCACTGGCTCATTTTTGTACCTGCTTGAGGAAATCTCTTAAAGTTTAGGAATGATTCATGTCTTGGGTCTCCCCAGAAGGATTAAACAAGGACCCTTCTATAAAAATACTCACTATACAAAATATCAGGTAAATGCTTTAAAACATAAGAAATGATAAATATGCATTGATAAAAACTTAAAACATGAAATGATCCTCCTATAACTCCTACTATATTTTCTCTGGAGGCTAATATTTATAACATTAAAACATGAAATATTTTTGTTGGTCTACTGAATAAACCATTCCACCTTCACCTTGGCTCTTTTTTGTATAAACAACTAACTCAATTACATCCATATTTTCTGGCAAAGCAGAACATGGGGGCTCATCTTGTAACAGTGATCATCTTCTCCTCTGAGAAGTTATTTCAGAGGTTACTTCTTGCACAGCAAGCAGCACTTGAACCCAGAAACTCCTAACCTCTCAAACTCATGGAGTTGCCACGGAGATGGTCATCTCAGGAGATCTGTTTGTTTCCCTCTTTGGCGGGGCGGGGGGGACCATAAAGGGAAAAGAGGCATATAGAGACCTATTGTCTAGTCTAAGGCTTAATTAAATAAGCCTATATATTTGTAGCTACCGTAGCTGCCATGAGGACAGAAGAGAAATCACTTTTATGTTGCATGATGATTCAGGAGAGCTCAAAGAGATGCATAATGTTCTACAGATATAAAGAGAGATAGATAGCAGAAATTATTTCTTTTAAAGCCTGTTGAGTGGGTGACTCTTTTTGCTCAGTGGCCAACTCTTTTTGGATCAGTGTACTTCCTACCAACATTACAGGGATTAAAAAGAAAAACAACAACAACCCAGCAGTCTCTGATCATGCATGTTCTTCATGAAGAAGTCTGGGAACATGTCTCATCAAAAGTAGTGTGATCATAGAGCCAGTGTTCATTCTTCCTTCCTTCCTTACTATCCCTAGAGCAGATAGGGGCAGGAGGATGGGGACTGGCTCCTCTGATTACCCCCATTATGAGTAGATAAGGATTCTACTGTTAGCTGAATTTTAAATTTGAGACCTCTGAAAGCAAAATATTTGAAGAAAGAATTTGTGGAAAAAAGAATACTGGTCTTTAGAACTCAGATCTTGATAAAAGTTATGTAAAATACAGGCATTTTGGAATCATTCATTATGATGACATTCATCTTAAATTCTTTATTTTTCCTTTTACTCCCCTCAATTCAATTATCTGGATTATTCTGTGACTCCCATAACAGATGGAAATCTAATAATTTGATTAATTAACTATTAGGGTTTTGTGGGAAAGATAATCAGTTTAATTTTGGATGTTTTCAGTTCAGGGGTTTTGGGAGATCCAGTTTGAAATGTGCAGGAAGTAAATGGTAACTGAAGTATAGGAGATAGTTGAGGGCTGAAAACAGAGATCTCAGAGTCATCTGAATGGAAATGATAATTAAACCCTTATGGCACCATATTAAGAATATTAAAAATAGAGCTGGATTAAACATTAAAATTCACCATATGTTTTTTAAATCATTTTAAAAATTTATGAATTTGTATTTTGGTTCTTAGAATAAGGTACCTCTCTGGATGCCCATCAACTGGGGAATGGCTGAGCAAGTTGTGGTATATGAATGTAATGGAATACTATTGTGCTATAAGAAATGATGTACAGGCTGACTTCAGAAAAACCTGGAAAGACTCGTATGGTCTGATGCTGAGTGAAGTGAGCAGAACCAAGAGAACGCTGTACACAATAACAGCCATGTTGTGTGACGACTAATACTGATAACCCTTCCCAGCAATACAAGGATCTAAGACATCTCCAAAGGCCTCATGATGGAAAATGCTTTCCCCATCCAAAGAAAGAACTATGGAGTTTGCATGCAGATTGAAGCATATTATTTGCTGTTTTTTTCTCTACTGTTGAGTTTTGTTTCCTCTTTCTGGTGGTTCCTCCTATTGGTCTAATTCTTACTTACAACATCATTAATGTGAAAACATGTTTAATAAGAATGTAAATGTATAGCCTATATCAGATTGTGAGCCATCTTGCGGAGGGAGGTGGGGAGGAAGGGGGAAAGAAATTTAAAACTCAAAAGCTTATGGAAATGATTTCTGATAAATCAAAATAGATTAACAAAAAAAGAATAAGGCATCTCTCCACTCTTCATTTCCTCCAACCTGGACTACTGTATTAAACTATATTACTATAATAAAATTGTATTTCTCTGAAATACCTTTGTCACTAAACCCTTAGAGGTTGCTTGCCTTTTCCCAACTGATCATGAAGTTGCTCAGCACGCTTAGGATGAGGCTTCAAACTGACAGGTCAATGCAAATTTCCTTTTCAAATCTTATCTCTTCTATTAATGTTACCTACCAGAAAAAAAAGTTAGTGAAATCTTCACAAAACTCAACAAGAATCAAAGGATAAAGGGCGTTCTGTTTAATTTTGCAGTAAATTGTACATTTTTTCTGTGGAAGAATTCAATGACTACTAGTAGTTAAACTTTCTGAACTGGAAGGCTATCACCTCAACATACCCAATTTCTCCTCCTTGTGTCACTTGAATAGTATCTTGAATCACTGCCAGGACCACAGTGAGATATTGTACAAAAAGTGTATCATTTCACCTACAAAATGCTCCTGAAAAAGTCAGACATAGGCTGAGTGATGAAATTTCAGATTGCCTGTATTTTATTATGGCAAGTGAGAATACCTATATCCCTAAAATAATAGCTCCCATTTATTTTGAATTTTAAGATTTACAAAACACTTTCTTCATAACCAAGTAAATAGGTAGCGCAAGTTTTATCATCCATATCTTTCAAGTGAGGAAACTAAGGCTCAGAGAAGTAAAGGGACTTGCTCAGAGTAAAAAGCTAGTAGACATCAAATCTGGCACTCTCTGGTTTTTTTTTTTGTACTATGTATTCATCCATTATGCCATCCTGACTTTGTAGATGCACACACACACACACACACACACACACACACACACACACACACACACATATTGTATCTTTCTTCAGCATGGCACAGAGTCTGAGTATTTAAAGACAATCCTAACAGGGCATCAGCTCTGCCAGTTGCCAGCAAGCTGGAAAGACTTTGAGTACAAACCTGATGACGTACATGGACAGGAATAAACCTAGTTAAATCTGAATAAATTCAACAGATTGGTTTCAGGGTAATTGATTTTTCAGTCACAGAAACTCTCAAAATACTTTCCACCAAGGTGCAGAAGGATTACTGTCTATGTGGAAAGTGCCCACATTGACAAAGTCACTGATTCCATTTGTTTTTCACTGATTTGTTGTTTTTAAGTCATTTTAGTCATGTCTGACTCTTCATGATGCCATTGGGTTTGTCTTGGTGAAGATATTATAGTGGATTGCTATTTCCTTCTCCAGCTTATTTTACAGATGAGGAAACTGAGGCAAACAGGTCTAAGTGACTTGCCCAGGCTCACAGAGCTAGTAAGTGTCTGAGGCCAGATATGAACTCATGAAGA